TCCCCGTCTGTCCCTCCCTCCCATCCGTCTGTCCTGCCGTCTGTCCCTCCCTCCATCCGTGTGTCCTGCCGTCTGTCCTCTCCCTCCCATCCGTGTGTCCTGCCGTCTGTCCCTCCCTCCATCCGTCTGTCCTGCCGTCTGTCCCTCCCTCCATCCAGTCTGTCCTGCCGTCTGTCCTCCCTCCATCCGTGTGTCCTGCCGTCTGTCCTCCCCTCCATCCTGTGTCCTGCCGTCTGTCCCTCCTCCATCCGTGTGTCCTGCGTCTGTCCCTCCCTCCATCCGTGTGTCCTGCCTCTGTCCCTCCCTCCATCCGTGTGTCCTGCGTCTGTCCCTCCCTCCATCCGTCTGTCCTGCCGTCTGTCCCTCCTCCATCCGTGTGTCCTGCCGTCTGTCCCTCCCTCCATCCGTGTGTCCTGCCGTCTGTCCCTCCCTCCATCCGTCTGTCCTGCCGTCTGTCCCTTCCTCCATCCGTCTGTCCCGTCTTCCTCCCTCCATCCGTCTGTCCTGCCGTCTGTCCCTCCCTCCATCCGTCTGTCCTGCGTCTGTCCCTCCCTCCATCCGTGTGTCCTGCCGTCTGTCCTCCCCTCCATCCGTGTGTCCTTCCGTCTGTCCCTCCCCTCCATCCGTGTGTCCCTGTCTGTCCCTCCCTCCATCCGTCTGTCCCTGCCTGTCCCTCCCCTCCATCCGTGTGTCCTGCCGTCTGTCCCTCCCTCCATCCGTGTGTCCTGCCGTCTGTCCCTCCCTCATCCGTCTGTCCTGCCGTCTGTCCTCCCTCCCATCCGTGTCCTGCCGTCTGTCCCTCCCCTCCATCCGTGTGTCCTGCCGTCTGTCCCTCCCTCCATCCGTGTGTCCTGCCGTCTGTCCTCCCTCCATCCGTGTCCTGCCGTCTGTCCCTCCCTCCATCCGTGTGTCCTGCCGTCTGTCCCTCCCTCCATCCTGTGTGTCCTGCCGTCTGTCCCTCCCCTCCATCCATCTGTCCTGCCGTCTGTCCCTCCCTCCATCCGTGTGTCCTGCCGTCTGTCCCTCCCTCCATCCGTCTGTCTGCCGTCTGTCCCTCCCTCCATCCGTGTGTCCTGCCGTCTGTCCCTCCCTCCCATCCGTGTGTCCTGCCGTCTGTCCTCCCTCCATCCGTCTGTCCTGCCGTCTGTCCCTCCCTCCATCCGTCTGTCCTGCCCTCTGTCCCTCCCTCCATCCGTGTGTGTCCTGCCGTCTGTCCTTCCTCCCATCCGTGTGTCCTGCCGTCTGTCCTCCCTCCATCCGTCTGTCCTCCGTCTGTCCCTCCCTCCATCCGTGTGTCCTGCCGTCTGTCCCTCCCCTCCATCCGTCTGTCCTGCCGTCTGTCCCTCCCCTCCATCCGTGTGTCCTGCCGTCTGTCCTTCCTCCATCCGTGTGTCTGCCGTCTGTCCCTCCCTCCATCCGTCTGTCCTGTCTGTCTCCCCTCCATCCGTCTGTCCTGCCGTCTGTCCCTCCCCTCCATCCTGTGTGTCCTGCCGTCTGTCCCTCCCTCCATCCGTGTCCTGCCGTCTCTCCTCCCTCCATCGTGTGTCCTGCCGTCTGTCCCTCCCCTCCATCCGTGTCCTGCCGTCTGTCCCCTCCTCCATCCATCTGTCCTGCCGTCTTCCTCCCTCCATCCGTGTGTCCTGCCGTCTGTCTCTCCCTCCATCCGTGTGTCCTGCCGTCTGTCCTCCCTCCATCCGTGTGTCCTGCCTGTCTGTCCCTCCCTCCATCCGTGTCCTGCCGTCTGTCCCTCCCTCCATCCGTGTGTCCTGCCGTCTGTCCTCCTCCATCCGTCTGTCCTGCCGTCTCCTCCCTCCATCCGTGTGTCCTGCCGTCTGTCCCTCCCTCCATCCATGTGTCCTGCCGTCTGTCCTCCCTCCATCCGTGTGTCCTGCCGTCTGTCCCTCCCTCCATCCGTCTGTCCTGCCGTCTGTCCCTCCTCCATCCGTGTGTCCTGCCGTCTGTCCCTCCCTCCATCCATGTGTCCTGCCGTCTGTCCCTCCCCTCCATCCGTGTGTCCTGCCGTCTGTCCCTCCCTCCATCCGTCTGTCCTGCCGTCTGTCCTCCCCTCTCCATCCAGTCCTGCTGTCTGTCCCTCCCTCCATCTGTGTCCTGCCGTCTGTCCTTCCCCCATCCGTCTGTCCTGCTGTCTGTCCTCTCCATCTGTGTCCTGCTGTCCGTCCTCCATCCGTCTGTCCTGCTGTCTGTCCCCCCTCCATCCAGGTCCTGCTGTCTGTCCCTCCCCTCCATCCGTCTGTCCTGCCGTCTGTCCCTCCCTCCATCCATGTGTCCTGCCGTCTGTCTGTCCTCCCTCCATCCGTTCTGTCCTGCTGTCTGTCCTCCCTCCACCTGTCTGTCCTGCTGTCTGTCCCTCCCTCCATCCGTGTGTCCTGCTGTCTGCCCTCCATCCAGGTCCTGCTGTCTGTCCCTCCCCTCTCCATCCGTCTGTCCTGCTGTCTGTCCCCCTCCCCATCCGTCTGTCCTGCTGTCTGTCCTCCCCCCTCCATCCGGTGTCCTGCCGTCTGTCCTCCCCCTCCATCCGTCTGTCCTGCCGTCTGTCCTCCTCCCATCCGTCTGTCCTGCTGTCCCTCCCTCCATCCGTCTGTCCCTCCCCTCCATCTGTCCTGCCGTCTGTCCTCCCTCTCCATCTGTCTGTCTTGCCGTCTGTCCCTCCCTCCATCCGTCTGTCCTTCCTCCGTCTGTCCCTCCCTCCATCTGTGCGTCCTGCTGTCTGCCCTTCCCCCATCCGTTTCTGCTGTCTGTCCTCCCTCCATCCAGGTGTCCCTGCTGTCTGTCCCTCCCTCCATCCGGTTCTGTCCCAGTCTGTCCCTCCCTCCCCATCTGTCTGTCTGCCGTCTGTCCCTCCCCTCCATCCGTCTGTCCTGCCGTCTGTCCTTCCCTCTCCATCCAGGTCTCTGCTGTCTGTCCCTCCCCATTCTGTCTCCTGTCTGTCCTCCCTCCATCCGTGGTCCTGTCTGTCCTCCCTCTCCATCCTGTGTCCTGCTCGTCTGTCCTCTCCTCCATCTCGTGTCCTGCTGTCTGTCCCTTCCCTCCATCCGCCTGCTCCGTCCTCCCTTCCATCCGTCTGTCCTGCTGTCTGTCCTCCTCCTCTCCATCTGCTGTTGTCCTGCTGTCTGTCCCTCCCTCCATCCGTCTGTTGTCTGTCCTTCCCTCCCACCATTCTGTCCTGCTGTTTGTCCCTCCCTCTCCATCCGTCTGTCCTGCCGTCTGTCCTTTCCATCCGTCCCTGCTGTCTGTCCCTCCCTCCATCCGTGTCCCGCTGTCTGTCCCTCCCCTCCATCCGGTCCTGCTGTCTGTCCCTCCCTCCATCCGTGTGTCCTGCCGTCTGTCCCTCCCCTTCCATCCTGTCTCTGTCCCGCTGTCTGTCCTCCCTCCATCCGGTCTGTCCTGCCTTGCCGTCCCCTCCCTCCATCCTCAGTGTCCTGCTGTCTGTCCCTCCCTCCATCCTCGTCTGTCCTGTTCTGTCTGTCCCTCCCTCCATCTGCGGTCCTGCCCCTGTCCTCCCCTCCATCCGTCTGTCCTGCCGTCTGTCCTCCCTCCATCCGTGTTCCTGCCGTCTGTCCTCTCCCTCCATCCGCGTCCTGCCGTCTGTCCTTCCCTCCATCTGTCTGTCCTGCCGTCTGTCCTCCTCTCCATCCGGTCTGTCCCGCTGTCTGTCCCTCCCTCCATCCGTCTGTCCTGCTGTCTGTCCCCCTCCCTCCATCTCCGGTCCTGCCGTCTGTCCCTCCTCCATCCGTCTGTCCTGCCGTCTGTCCCTCCTCCATCCGTGTCCTGCTGTCTGTCCCTCCTCCATCTGTCTGTCCTGCTGTCTGTCCCTCCATCCGTCTGTCCTGCCGTCTGTCCCTCCCTCCATCCGTCTGTCCTGCCGTCTGTCCTCCCTTCCATCTGTCCTGCTGTCCGTCCTCCCTTCCATCCGTCTGTCCTGCTGTCTGTCCCTCCCTCCATCCGTCTGTCTGCCGTCTGTCCATCCGTCTGTCCTGCCCGTCTGTCCTCCCTCCATCCGTGTGTCCTGCCGTCTGTCCCGTCCCGTCCGTCCCGTCCGTCCTTCTGGCCGAAGGCCTTGGCCGCCATAACCAGATCAAAACAGCCTCGAGTCGTCGCTACAGTCGGCCAGTTGTGTCAATAATGTTATAAGTTATGGCCGCGTGTGAGGGTGTAGTACTGTACTACCACTACTATTACTGTTGATACCATTACTACTACTACTACTTTTACTGTACTATTACTACTACTACTACCTTTTACTGTACTGCTCATGAACTACTACTGCTACTACTACTACTACTACTACTACTACTACTACTACTACTACTACTACTACTACTACTACTACTACTACTACAGCACAACAACAACTGTTACTCTAATCTTCGATACGTCTACCACAATTACTTTCAACAACTCTGCTTTACTACAATCACAATCTATCCACAACTACCAGCACCAGGCGTAGACATAGCAACAGAGAGCTGGTTGGCTGTAGAGGTGTCAATCCCTCACCTGGTAGACATACACCTCCGTCAAGTCCAGAAGTATGAGGAAACTCAGCAAAGAAAACTTTCTAGCACATCTTTAACCCCCCCTTGTGCCCCGCGCCCTGGGAGGTGAGAGAACGTAGAGGCCACTTTTAATAATGCATTAAAACTCTTAAAACTTTCATTTATTAACGGGTATGGGCGGAAGCCTCGGGGACATGGCTGCCTGACCATTGTTACCCGTTTTCTTTAAATAGGACGGCTGCCTTGAGGGGGTAACTTAACTCAATAGAGCTCCGGTGCGTCAGGAAGGGGTGTGTAGTAATATTTCAACTGTAATTCCTTCATATTAGTGATACGGATGACTGTGTGGCATCGTATGTCTAACTTTCGTGTGAAACTCGTGTCGTAATTTCATCTATGAATATGGAGGTAAGGCGGGATAATAAGAAGAGCGTAGATTTGATGGCGGCGGCGTGACGTGAGGACGACTTACTCTACCCTCTGATGGATCATGTCGTCAACACCCACGACACTCATCCTCGACTCTACCCTCTGATGGATCATGTCGTCAACACCCACGACACTCATCCTCGACTCTACCCTCTGATGGATCATGTCGTCAACACCCACGACACTCATCCTGCAGAGTTTTACCAACACCATAAATTAATCCTCGAGGCCCTCCGTCAGCTACTCCGACGTGAGGAAGTAGAAAAGACTGTATCACCAGGGACGCTCCTGTAGGGACGAGCTACAGGCCAGGAGTATGGCTGTGTTTATGTCCCGCACGTTGTAGAAGGACACTACAGTTCTGTGTTGTCTGTTAGTCACATTTATGACTTCTAAGCCCAGCATATTTCTTATATTGACCTGTCCTGACCTTGACCTCTATATGACCCCTCAACAACACCAGGAAGGTCACGGTGGAGTGAACTCCCACTCAGAGCTCGGCGCCGATTCATTATTCAACCCACTAAAAGCAGCAGCCTTCAACCCCGCACTTTTTCACTGCAAATTATAAGGTATTTTTCTCTCTTACTGAGGCAGTCCCAGTCCAAGCCTGTGTACCTAACGGTGAGGAAATGAGCCACACACACACACACACACACACACACACACACACACACACACACACACACACACACACACACACTCAGATGTTTTATTCATACGTGTGTGTGTGTGTGTGTGTGTGTGTACAGATACTCTCCTCTGCCTCGTTGAGTTGAGAGTAAACAGATCCGGCTGAGTTCTCGGCCTACTCGATGGACAAGCACTGGGCAGACTCAGATATCGGCTCGAAAAAGCAATGTAAATTTGTATGACGATTTTATTGGATATCTATCTATCTATCTATCTATCTATTTCAACCCGTCTGTCTGTTTGTCTGTCTAACCTAACCTAACCTAACCTAACCTAACCTGACCTGACCTGACCTACCTCTTCCACCCCTTTCCTCTTTCTTCCTCTCTTCTTCCTCCCCTTCCTCCTCCTCTTCACCTCTTCCACCCCTTCCTCTTCTTCACCCTCTCATCCTCTTCTTCACCCTCTCATCCTTTTCTTCACCCTCTCATCCTCTTCTTCACCCTCTCATCCTCTTCTTCACCCTCTTCCTCTTCTTCACCCTCTCTTCCTCTTCTTCACCCTCTTTCCTCTTCTTCACCTCTCTTCTCTTCTTCACCCTCTCTTCTCTTCCTCACCCCTCCTCTTCCTCGTCTTAAAACCAGGAACACAACACAAAGACCGCCGCCCCCAAGCCTCGAGTTGTGTTGGTAACCGAGGGAAAACATCTGAGTGTATGTATGTAAACATCTCTGGTATGTATATAAACATCTCTGAGTGTATGTATGTAAACATCTCTGAGTGTACATATGTAGACATCTCTGAGTGTATGTATGTAAACATCTCTGAGTGTACGTATGTAAACATCTCTGAGTGTACGTATGTAATAATAATAATATATATATATATATATATATATACATGTTTATTTAGAATTTACCTTGAGGCTTATACAGACTTACATTTGATTTTGACATAATGATATAATATGCATTGAATACATTTACAGGGCTGTACACTACATAAATCAGAGTTGTTTATTATTTTAACAATAGATGGGATGGTGCTGTTCTTATATCTGTCAGTGCGGGCTCTTATGGGCTGTTTGTGTGACGGACTGCGCGAGGTGGGTGGGGGCTGCAGGTGGCAGGAGGTGGCGATGGCGAGTGGTGCAGTCCACGGCCAAAAACCCTTTCCAGTGCTTGGTGGTGGAGGTCACTGAGGGATGGCATTTCCAGAGTAGAGAGCGTTGATAACCAGGTATTCTGTGCCGAGCATGATTCTGCAGGCCTTTTCTGTACCTTCTCTAGCTGACGTTGTTGGGTGGAGTGAAGAGAACGACCAGGCTGGTGACGCACACGTTAGTTTGGGAAATAAAGGCGTTGTAGATGGTCTCAGCTCTGGCGAGTGTCCCAAGTGACGTAAGTCGTCGTAGCATGTAGGAACAGTGAGCTGCCTTGACTGTGTTATTTACATGGGCCTTCAGTCAAGTTTGTTGTCTAAGTTTACACCCAGGAGTTTTGGCAGACTGCACCAGCTGGAGAGGATGGGCACCCACTGTGACTGGGCTTGCACTGGAATGGTGGCGGTTTGATGTGCATGACTACGGTTTTGGTGTGGTTGATGGTGACTTTGTTCTCCGTAGTCCATGCCTGTAGCCTGTCCAGGGTGCCTTGTAGCGATGAGTAGTCTGGTGCGGTGTCCTGAACCCACAGTGCAGTCATCCGTACTTCCACCTGTGAGGTGTCCGATAGAGCGTCGTTGATCAGGATGAGAAGCACCAGTGGTCCCATCTTGGTCCCTGGGGAACACCGCAGGTGAGGTGTTGGAATAGAGACCAAGCCCTGATACCTCACTGCTTGGCGACGTCCACTCAGAAATCAGTGAGCCATGAGACCAGGTTGGTGGGGAGGCCCTGAATGTAGCCTTGTTGATAACAGTGCAGTGATCACCAAGGTCAAAGGCCTTCCTGAAGTCCACAAGGGCAACGGCCACTGATGTCTTACGTTTCTGCAAGTTTGTGTGCAGAAAATCCAGAAAGCTCATAAGCAGTGTGATGGGGAGGTCCTCATATTGCCAAATTGCTGTTCACAAACATCTCTGAGTGTACGTATGTAAACATCTCTGAGTGTATGTATGTAAACATCTCTGAGTGTACGTATGTAAACATCTCTGAGTGTACGTATGTAAACATCTCTGAGTGTGATGTAAAAATTAACAAATTGTGTTCCTTCTCTTCATCTTTATCCTCTCTCTTCTCTTTCATCATTCTTTCGTCTTATGTATCTACGAATAATTGAGTTATGTACGTATGATAATCGTACACATAGTAATACTTTAACTTGGTCATAACATCTGTAGGGTCTTAACCTGGATATATGTAAAAATGTACTTAATTATTATTTAAGCTTCTTGTACACGTATCTTTAAATTGGTGTCATGATTCTCGTATGAATTAAAGGGACAAACTTGATAACAGTTTAACCCACTCAGCTGTGTTGTGGTTGATCAGCTGATGGATGTAAATAAATAATGTGTTGTGTTTACATCAGCTGTGTTGTGGTTGATCAGCTGATGGATGTAAATAAATAATGTGTCTTGTTTTTTCATCAGCTGGAGACGATCACGACTATCACCTCGCCCGTGGCCTCCTGCCAATGGCCTCTCGCCCCTAGAGATGCTCGCCCCGGCATCCTGCCCCGCCCACATCTCCACCGCCTCCCACCTCACCAACTCCCAGGTAGTGAATGGACCCATGTTCAGCGGCATACAGCAACACCCTGGCCTGCAGCAGATGGGCATACAACACCCAGGCCTGCAGCAGATGGGCATACAACACCCTGGCCTGCAGCATACATCCGTGCAGCACTCCAGCCTGCAGCATACCTTTGGCTTGCCCCCCACCCTCCCCCCCACCACTCCTGGACCAGCAAAGTCTCCAAAGGTGAGTCTGATACCTGTGTAATGACCGTCTCATAACTGACTGATACTTGTCTGATACCTGATACATCGTTGTTGTTCTGGTGGTCTCACTGACCTGACCTCAAATTAGGGTTTCTTTTTATAATAGAACCTGACGTAACCCTAAGCTGAATCTACCTTGGGGTTCTACTCACCCTAAAACCTGACCTGACTTAACTTGGGGGTTCTCTTCCTATGACCTGACCTTAAATTATGGGTTCTTTTTTATCACAGAACCTGACCTGACCTTAAATTATGGGTTCTTTTTTATCACAGAACCTGACCTGACCTTAAACTAGGGGTTCTTTTTTAGCACAGAACCTGACCTGACCTTAAACTAGGGGTTCTTTTTTATCACAGAACCTGACTTGACCTGACCTTAAACTAGGGGTTTTGCACAGAACCTGACCTGACCTTAAACTAGGGGTTCTCTTTAGCACAGAATCTGACCTGACCTTAAACTAGGGGTTCTCTTAAGCATAGAACCTGACCTGACCTGACCTTAAACTAAACTTAACTTGAGGTTCTTCTCCCCCCAGAACCACTCACGGAGGAGGGAGAGAGCCATCCTCATCGACAGGGTGTCCCGGATCCTTTTCCCTACCTCCTTCACGGTTCTCAATGTTATCTACTGGAGTGTGTTCGTAGTGCAGTGGTTCTAGTGCAGTGCGGACGTACCTCACTGGTGGCGGTTCTAACACGGTTCTATAAACGCCACGGATGAGGGAGAATAGACAAGAGAAGTAACTAAGAGAAGATACACTACACATTAAAGAATCCAACGTGACACGAGACATAATATAAACACAAATGAGTGTCCAGTCTTAGTATACAAGCAACTTCGCTGCTGAAACCTAGATGGCAGTGCGAGAAGTCAATTTGATGACGTCCTTATCTAGAGTTCCAGATTACACGTAGAGTGTTCATTCCAACTGTTGACCTACGCCAGAATGCTGACCTCTAAGGACCTAGGATGCAACCAAAGGAAGACTATTTATTGTTGGTGGATCAATCTCTCTCTCTCACATTGTACACTAACTAGAATTATTAGCACAAAGGGGTACAGTGACCATCAGGTTCTGTGTATCTGATGAGGCGGCCGCTACCAGGGACGAATACTTGACTGGTCCCTTGTTATCTATATATATATCTAGTAGAGAACAGAGCGTCACTTTAGACTAGTCACTAGGGCTAGAAAGTACATAGTTAATTAATCTCAACATCCTTTAATAAAACTGTATACAGACTGGACTCGCTATGTCTGTTTGGACGACAAAGTGTATGAAGACTTCTAAAAACGATATGTGCAACAGGTATCGATAATTCCAACACAGAAATATTATTGTAACTATTTATTTTTTAGACAGGATTCACATCAATTCTCTATGTTAACATTGTCTTATAACTGGTACCAAGAACACGTATCTAGTTGAGGTAAGGTCTCAGTGCACTGTTGATGCCAAATTGAACTATATATCGTGGGCTCAGTCCTACTAACTATGACACCCTTAACCTTTTATTTGGCTACACTGGCACTTTATTTCCGTCACTGGCAACACAAACTTAGGAAAACTTTATTTTTTTTATATATATGGGGTTGGTCCGCGAGTTTAATATTCTATTTTACACAATTTATCTTATCAATAGTGTGTGTTTTAAACTCCGGTGAACTTTAGCTGCAGGTAAAAAAAAATTATGTTTACTTTTGATTACTCCTTGTGGTGTGGTCAGTACTGCAGGAACCCTCGCTGGCACAACGTCATGCGGCCACCACTCTCCATTTTGTACAAAGAATCTCTCATACATGATACCATAAATAAATGGATTTATGTATAGATGTTTTGCATTATCTAAATCATATTATACCATGCAAATGATTATACAACCACTGTGATCAATAACATAGGTTTACGGTGCTCTTTTGTTTTGATGTTTAGGAGATTTGTCTAGAGTTTTGTGTTCCCACGTTGTTTTATAGAGCTCTGATAGAAGTATAACGAAGCATAATAGATTATTAGTTCATCTACGTAGTGTTCTTCTACAAGTGACACGTAGGGCTGACACCATTAACTTGTTCCCACATTAATGGACCACTGTGTCATATTCAGATAACATAAATAGAACGTAAAGCATTTGTGTGCACTATAGCCATCTTATAATACCATCAACTTCTGTTATAAGCATCACGAGGTCACACGTGAGGCTACATGCAGCCCGTCAGTCAAGACCTGATTGGTTAATAGTTTGGCATTAAGGTTAAAAGAAATAGTAAAGAAAATTTGTGAGACTGAGTTAGACAAACACGTGATAATGTTAAGCTAAGGGCCGTGTGTGAAGACTCTAACATGGTAATGAAGAGCCAATCACCTTGTTGTAATAAACCTTTTGTGAAAATATCTTGTCTCGTTAAATCTCACTTTTATAAATTAGTTTAAATATTTCTTCTTCAAATAGACCCGTCTGATGAGCTATAATTGTGGCAATTAACTGACCATCCTTTTACGATCGCTATCTAAGGACTGGCGATTGCGGCAGCAGTAAAGACAGCAGCTCTCGGACACCATCTGAGACTGTCCATATAAGATATATGAAAGCCTTTGAATACTGTATTTTTAATGCTACATTTTCACTGTAATATTAGGATGGTTTGCAATATGTTCGCCCCCTACTGGCCATGACAAGTTAAGCTTATACTAACTTTAACGCAGATAGTTCTCCACGGTAATAGAAAAAGTGGTCTTCCGAATAGTAATTACAAGTCTAGTTCTGGCATAGTTATTCTTTCTGTTAAAATAAGAAAATTAGAAAAACCAGCGCGTGGGGAAAATGGGAAATATAGGCGGGTGACTCGGGTGATGTTAAGGCTTCAGTTGCCCCCGTGGACTGCTGTTGATCTCGGTCCTTTGACTATTTGTCTCACCAGAAACAGCTGGTGCTTTATGCATTAGTATTGTCTTTCCACCTCCAAGATGAGTGTATCACGGATAAGGCGGGTGTAGTTATATAACTAGATAAAATATATTACTTGTAAAACTATGGGGTTTGGGACGACCTCGTTAAATATTCAAACGAAACCTGTTTTCTCTTCTTTTAGAAGAAAAATAAATCATAATAAAGCGTTGAACGGCTAATGTAGGAACTTTCCACAACAGCCACAGACAAGAGGTGCGGTGTGGATGTAACTGTCTCCTTTACTGCCTTAATTAAAAGCAAACACAACATTCCACGTTCGAAATCGAAAAAAAAGTGCGCCTGTGGATATTTCGGGTCTTGATTAACTCTAAATGGTTAACTTACTCCACATTATATTCTTGGATTTTATTATTATTTACTTCTATTTTGCATATCTTAATCTCCCTCCATCACCACCGCCAACCTCCCAAACTCCATCAAGTCCCAATATAAATATCTGAATTAGCAGCTCCACTGTGTATGTGAGTGGACGCTGCCTCGGTCTGATAGTACAGATTATTATAATAGACTGTCACTTTCTCCCACATATGCTTCATTTTACCAATCTCATAACAAAACAAGGATTAAGAATTTCTAAAAACATTTCATATCTATGCGTAGAACTGAGAGAAGGTTCAGTAGCTGGTTCATGGAAACTAACTCCTTCGGTATAACTTCGCCTACAGAATAAACCGTACGCTTGGGTTTGTTTTCTCCTGACCAGTGCTGACAACCTAGAAATACCCTTCTCCCTCCAGTAGGTTTATGAGACATATAGTGTTAGTATACCTGCTAGATTTTTTTTTAAATAAATTAGCATCAAGGTGCAGTTAGGCTTATCGTAGCAAATTTATATCTAAATTATCGAGTGTAAACAAGCGTTGACAAACTGTGATCAGTGATTGTTCTTGGAGTAAGGTTCCCTGACATTGGAACAACCGAGGCAAAAGGTGCTGAAGAACATTGGCTGTGGGACTATTGCACTGTTTGTTGGGTGAGAACTCCGGGACATCCTCCACCTCAGAGACTTGCCAGATCCTCCCCAGCCTGCCAACCGTAAGTCCACCATCGACGATAAAGGAAACGAAACTGATCATTGTGTTAGATAAATTGTGGAGAGAAAACCGGCTGAACGTATAGTACCAGGCGTTCTTGGCGAGGTATTTGAACCATAACACTGGAGCGTCACAATAGAGGAACCCCAGTGAGTGCTAGAGTCCGCAGCTGGTCTGATGACTATCCCTCACAACAGCCCTCCTTCAAATTCAAAATCAAAGAATAATATGAAGCTTTGATACTCTAAATATAAGAGACTGTATCCTCAAACTTACTAGTATACGCATCACTGGCGCTACGTTTGGGAAACTTTAAAAACAGACACAACTCTTTTCTTCTTCAATTCAATAATTATTATTTTTCTCACGCTGACAATAAGCTCTTAGAAAACTGGCTTCAGAGGTATAGTTGTGTTGTTGTATCTCTTGAGTGTAAGAGTGACGGTGAGGGAGGAACTGTGACGTCACCTCAACCTACCTCCCAACCTGTAACTCTAACTAACCACTTAGTCGGCAGTCTCAAGTATATTTCTACTGACTACTTGTATAATGACTATGTGTAAATCGCTCATCTCCACGAATATATACCATGTACATTGATACAGTATTTTTGTAAGTGTAGCCTAAAAACACACCCACGACACCTGTGTATTGTACTATGTGTATGGGAATGTACATAATATTTTATGATTAATGTTACACAGAAGTAATATAATAATGATCTGAGCCCTTGAATGTACTATAGGTTAATACTGCAATATTTGAGAAGGTAATTAATACGTTCACCTGTATATAACTCAACACCTGGGATTCTCATTCTCCAAGATTACGTAAGTTACATTTTTTCTTAAACCTTCAGTGAAGTTTAGAACGTGACTTAAGATACAGCATAGAGATAACACTCAAAATGGCATCGAAATTAACTTAAGACTCTTCTCTTATCCACAGATACAACTAAACAAAATAAAAAAAATAAATCAGGATTCTAAAATACTACGATAAAGTCCCAATGCAGTTTCGATGTCATTTTGATCGCCATCTTTGTGTCGCAGCTCAAGATGGAACTTATATGCGTTCATTCACAAGTTGTCTAACAAGAAAAAAGGTAACTTGCGGGGTTTTTTTTAGTATTTATTCCCTGGTCTGTTCCACACGTGTCTAAGTAGCCATGTGGAGCCCCCCTTCCCCTCCCCCTACACCCATAAACCTCAGCTCCACCTCCTTACCCCCCACCTCTATCTTCCTACCAGCTTGTTTCCGTACAGTACCCCGCCACCTTCTCCCTTCACCACTCCTCACGTGGATGTGAAACACTGGATTCAATAAAATCTTTAACTTCAATTGTGTTTCATTATTCATTACCAAAGTTTCATATAATTACGTATTGTAAATAACGACTCTACACAGTACAATAAAATGATCAATGTTAAAATTATACCGCGAACAGGAGTAAAATTATGTTTAATATTCAAACGAAGTGAACTAACCAAACTTCTCTTTGCCTTAGCCGGTGCATGCCCAGTACTTGCCAAAATGTGCGTGACAGAGACGTGACCGATCGCCCGGGCGGCTAGCGAGGCGATCAGTGGTGAAGAGGATAAAAATAGAGAAAAAATAAATAAATAAATAAATAAATAAAACAAATCTATAACGAGGTTCACCTTATCTGCTGGTGGATGTGAACTAGAGATATTTGATGTTGACGCTTGACAAGTAGACCCACGAGATAGTGTTTACCTATCAAACACTGACACACACATGTACACACACATGTACACAGTGATAAAGTGACACCCATAAAGTGTAAAGTGAACACAGGAGAGAAGTAATACAGCTCAAGTTAAGAGGTTAGTACTGTACAATTAGCGGTATCGGGTAAAATGGTTGTTATTTCAATGCTTCCCTACAGCCTCACTTGTGGAAACAGGCAAATGTAGTACCCATATTCAAAAAGGGAGACAGAGCATCAGCGT